TTCATTGTATTTTGGAGTATAACTCTGTTGGTTACAGACTGAATGGTTGTTAATTTCCATTATGCCCTTTGATTGTTGCTGTTGCTAATAAAGAGCTTTGGATACTTTTCACAAGAAGTTGCCTTTCTGTTTTAATCCATCACAGACATTATCCAATTTTGCTCGATTTTTGAAGAAACAAACCATGCTGTTGGGATAGACATCATCAGATTTGTCTTCTACATTCAACAGCCAAAAAGCATACAGAATTATGTGTGTGACTTATTCACACATGCACGGGCTAACAAGATATTATTTTCATATAAATCCACAATATTTTCCCCCAAAAGTAAAGTAGGGATGAGCCACCCATTCCCCATTTATTATTTACCAAGGTGGTGCAGTGGGTTAAACCCCTGTGCCAGCAGGACTGAAGACCGACAGGTTGCAGGTTCAAATCCGGGGAGAGGTGGATGAGCTCCCTCTATCAGCTCCAGCTCCCCATGCAGGGACATGAGAGAAGCCTCCCACAAGAATGATAAAACATCAAATCATCCGGGCGTCCCCTGGGCAACGTCCTTGCAGACGGCCAATTCTCTCACACCAGAAGTGACTTGCAGTTTCTCAGGTCGCTCCTGACACGACAAAAAAAAAATTACCAAGGAGAGATTCTATCTGAACATGAGGAAGAACTTCCTGACTGTGAGAGCCGTTCAGCAGTGGAACTCTCTGCCCCGGAGTGTGGTGGAGGCTCCTTCTTTGGAAGCTTTTAAACAGATGCTGGATGGCCATCTGTCAGGGGTGATTTGAATGCAATATTCCTGCTTCTTGGCAGGGGGTTGGACTGGATGGCCCATGAGGTCTCTTCCAACTCTTTGATTCTATGATTCTATGAGAGGAAAGACAATTTGTGAGGGCTGAATGAAAAGTAATGCCTCCACCTTCGTAACTCCTCAACAGATGGCAATACTGATATGTGGCAGGTTCTGGCTTGTTCAGTAGACTCTCCTCTACAGTTCCATTTTGGCAGGAAGCCTTAGCATTGAACGGTTGTGTTGTTAAAGTGTGTAGTATGGAACCCTGCGCAGACGGTCAGTTTTCCTGGCCACTGCCGAAACCTAGGGTTCCAGGCTCAGTGATGAGTCCAGGATCACTTCCATCCAACACAGGCTGTAACTCCTATGCCCTGTTATCTGAGATCCCTTCCACATAGCTGAATAAAATCCCATATTTTCTGCTTTGAAGTGGAATATATGGCAGTGTGTGAACTCAGATAACCGAGTTCAATGCAGATATTGTGAGATATTCCTGGATATAGGGCTGTGTGGAAGGGCCCTATGATTCCATGCACTGCTCTGGCTCAATGCTATGGAATCCTAGGAGGAGCTCTCAGACAGGGAAGGCTAAGGACCCTGTCAAACTACCAGCACTAGGGTTCCATGGCATTCATCCAGGTCAGTGAAAGTGGTACCAATCAGCATTCATTCTACGGTGTGGATGCAGTCTCGGGCAGGGCAAGGGAGGTGGCCTTTTCCTGGTCGGTCTCTCTTTGGAAGCAAGTTCCGGGCCGGGGGGGGGGGAGTTTGTGGCTTGGAGGGCCAGCCCTTTCCTCTCCAGATCCGCCCCCAGGTCCGGCTCTCAGGGCGAGGCGCAAGTTTCCCCGGGCAAGTTGGGTGAGTCGCTTTGCCTGGACCGGAGAGGTGAGTGAATCCCCCTTTGGGCGCCTGGGAGGGGCGGGAAAGAGCCCCCAACCCTCCGGACTTTAGACTAGGTTTCTCTACCCATCGCAGGAGTGGGTCTGCCTCCCTAGAGGCGCCTCTCTCCTCTCCTCCCTCCTGGCTCAGACACTTCCTCGCCGGGAGGAGAAATCGGATTTTTTTCCCCTCCCCTGAACCTCTTTGGCTACCTCTCTACACTGCAGAATTAATGCAGATTTGTGCCGCTTTAACGGCCCTGGCTCAATGCTATGGAATCCTGGGCGTGGTAGTTTAGGGAGGCACTTCTCTTTGGCAGAGAAGACTGAGGACTGAGGCTATTCAGGGGAATTCCAGACAGGAAACAATCTGGGCCAGCTAACACCTCCCAACAAAGGATTCCCCCAGGCAGCAATCAGCCATGCTTTGAAGCTGCAAAGCCATTCAATGCTAACCACTACCCAACAAATGTTTTCCCCAGGCAGCAATCAGCCAGTCTTTGAAATTGCAAAGCCATTCAATGCTAACCACTACCCAACAAATGTTTTCCCCAGGCAGCAGTCAGCCAGTCTTTGAAACTGCAAAGCCATTCAGTGCCAATCATTTCCCAACAAATGTTTCCCCAAGCAGCAATCAGCCAAGCTTTGAAACTGCAAAGCCATTCAATGCTAATCACCTTTCAACAAAGGTTTACCCCAGGCAGCAATCAGCTATGCATTGAAGCTGCAAAGCCATTCAATGCTAACCACTTCCCAACAAATTATTCCCCCAGGCAGCAATCAGCCAATCTTTGAAACTGCAAAGCCATTCAATGCTAATCACCTTTCAACAAAGGATTCCCCCGGGCAGCAATCCAAGGAGTAAACCTGAAAATGAACAAAATCTGGCTACCACTATTTAAAAAAACTTCTAAAATCAGGACAGTAAATAAAGAGCAACACTCAAAAAGCAGGGGAATTCCAGACAAGAATCAATCAGGGCCAGCTAATACCTCCCAACAAAGGATCCCCAGGCAGCAATCAGCCAGTCTTTGAAGCTGCAAAGCCATTCAATGCTAATCATCTCCCAACAAAGGATTCCCCCAGGCAGCAATCAGCCAGTCTCTGAAGCTGCAAAGTGATTCAATGTTCATCACCTTCCAACAAAGGATCCCCCAAGCAGCAATCAGTCAGTCTTTGAAGCTTCAAAGCCATTCAATGCTAATCACCTCCCAATAAAGGATTCCCCTGGTCAGCCATCAGCTAGTCTTTGAAGCTGCAAAGCCATTCAATGCTGATCAAGGTGGCCAATTGCAATATTCACACTTGCTTCAAGCAGACAAGTGCTCTTTCTCCCACCCTGGGCATTCCACAGATATATAAACCCCACTTGCCTAGACCGCACAACCTCTGAGGATGCCTGCCATAGACATGAGAGAATCGTCAGGAGAGAATGCTTCTGGAACATGGCCACACGCCCCGGAAAACTCACAGCAACCGAAGCCGAAGGATTTTGTCCAACTTGCAGGATCCCATAGCATTGAGTCATAGGAATTCAGAAAGGTGTCAGTCTGCATTTATTCTACTGTGTGGATGCAGACTCGCTCGTGGGGGAAAGTCAAGCCTCTCCCATAACCAAAAATGGAATGGACACTGGCACTTTTGCGATTTTTCCAGTTATTTACTCCTTCTTCCGCTGTGCACTAACCTCATTAAAAACAAACAAAGGCGCAAGACACACTGATTACACTCCCAGTGTTTCCTGAAAGATGGAAGAGAGGGAACCGATTGCAACTTCTAGTAGGGAAACTCTCACTTTTCATACATTTGTTGCCATTCACCCCAAAAGCGAGGAATGGACTACTATCTATGTTCAGTTGGAGAATATCTTTGATGGCATAGTGCAGTGGTTCTTCTTAACCTTCCTAATACAATTCCTCTTGTTGTGGTGACCCCAACCATCAAATTAATTTTGTTGCTACTTCATAACTGTAATTTTGCTACTGTTAAGAATCGTAATGTAAATATCTGATCTGCAGGATGTATTTTCAGTCACTGGAATAACTTTGGCACAAATACCTGATACGGCCACATTTGAATACTGGTGGGGTTGGAGAGGGATTGATTTTGTCATTTGGGGGTTGTAGTTGCTGGGATTTATAGTTAACCTACAATCAAAGAGCATTCTGAACTCCACCAATGATGGAATTGAACCAAACTTGGCACACAAAAATCTCATGACCAACAGAAAATACTAGAGGATTTTGTGGGCATTGACCTTGAGTTTTGGAGTTGTAGTTCACCTATATCCAGAGAACACTGTGGACTCAAACAATGATGGATCTGGACCAAACTTGGCACAAATACTCAATATGCCCAAATGTGAATATTGGTGGGGTTTGAGGAAAATAGACCTTGACATTTGGGAGTTGTAGTCGCTGGGATTTATAGTTCACCTACAATCAAAGAGTATTCTGAACCCCACCAACGATAGAATTGGGCCAAACTTTCCACACAGAACCCCACATCACCAACAGACAGTACTGTACTTTCTGATGGACTTTGGTTACCCCTCTGACATTCTCTTGCTACCTCCCAGGGGTCCCAACCCCCAGGTTGAGAAACACTGGCATAGTGATATGGTGCATCTACTCTGTAGAATTAACGCAGTTTGACACCACTTTAAGTACTATGGCTGAATGCAGTGGAATCCTGGGAGTTACAATTTGGTGATGCACCAGAACTCTTGGCAGTGAAGATTAAAGACCATGTAAAACAACATCTCTCAGGATTCCATAGAATTGAGCCATGGTACTTAAAGTGGTGTCAAAGTGCATTAATTCCATACTGTAGTTTAGGCATGGGCAAACTTGAGCCCTCCAGGTGCTTTGGACTTCAACTCCCACAATTCCTAATAGCCTACCGGCTGTTAGGAATTGTGGGAGTTGAAGTCCAAAACACATGGAGGGCCAAAGTTTGCCCATGCCTGCTATAGATGCACCCCTTTTTGCTCCCTAAAGCAATCAGCCATATCCCTGCTTTGTATATGTGGGATAGACTCACATTTAAAGAACCGTGGTGCTTGTACGTTCCCATCTCTGAGCCTTCCTTCCACAACAGTCCTGTGTTTGCTGAGGCCTTCCTTGGGTTTCTGTTTCCATTCCTTCAGGAAGGGTGGGGATTTTTTTTTCCTCCCAAGCAAAACATACAGAGCCAAACCGTGGTGTTTTAAAACTTGGCTGGCTTGGGCCAAACAAACACCCATTTTTAGGTTCTGAGTCAAGATTCCTTTCCGGCCTTGCATATTTTGGCTGAGAGAGTTTCCAGGGGGTTGCATTCTTCAGAGAGAATGGGTGGAAGAAGTAACAATTAGGTGGGCATGTTCCCTCTGTTTCCCATCTCCCAAAGCCTTTTGCTAAAGCCGGAATGACAAGTTAACGCCAAACTCAGGCTGCTCGATAACTTTGAAGGGGAGAGAAGAATTTGGAGAGGAGAAGCAGAGGTTAGCTGTTCAGCTATGAGCGACTGTGTGACCCATGTTGGTTTGCAGTTAGAACAGGCATGAGCGAACTTGGGCCCTCCAGGAGTTTTGGACTTCAACTCCCACCATTCCTAATAGTTTCAGGTCCCTTCCTTTTCCCCCTCAGCCGCTTAAGCGGATGATGGGGGAAAGGAAAGGACCTGAGACTGTTAGGAATTGTGGGAGTTGAAGTGCAAAACACCTGGAGGGCCAAAATTTGCCCATGCCTGGGTTTAGAAGTACTAGTTGGCAGCAAACAGAACATTGCACCTGAATTTAGGGAAACGTGCATGCCGTATTTTCAGGATTTAAAATATATTTTGAAAGAGCTTGCAAGAGTTGCTTTTGGGCTGAAATATTTTTCCTGATCCCCTAACTAGCATGACCACTCAATTCTTTGTTAAGTACTTTTCTGGAACAATTAGATTTATGGATTTTACAATAATAGAATGCACCTAGTCTCTCATCTTCTTCTTCTTCTTCTTCTTCTTATTTTTTTGCAGAGTTTTGCTGAGAAATGGCAACTATGGCTTCTGTTTGGGTGAGTAATGTCATGGAAAGGCATGTGCAATTGGTCACTGGAAGTGTGCGTAATGAAGGCTTTCATTGAAGTAGAATTCAACATGTCTTTGGGGCAAACACTACAGCTTTCCCTGTCAAGTGCCAAGGATGTGTGCTTACCTGAAACTGAGGCTGTATCTATACTGTGAAATTGTTTGTTTGTTTGTTTGTTTACCATATTTATATATCACCTTTCTCAGCCCAAAGGCGACTCAAGGTGGTTTACACAATGGCACAATTTGATGCCCCCAACAACATAAATTACAATTAAAAACATTTAGCATAAATATAAAACCACAGCTTGATATCACTTTAAGTATTGCTCAATGCTGTGGGATTCTGTGTATTGTGGTTGGAGAGAAGGAAGAGCAGCAAATGTCTGGAGAAGTTGGCAGCGTCCTTCTTTCTCCTCCTCTTTCTTTGCAACCCCAACATTGAGCTAAATTAGCCATGGGCAAACTTCAGCCCTCCAGATGTTTTGGACTTCGACTCCTACAATTCCTAACAGCCGGTATGCTGTTAGGAATTGTGGGAGTTGAAGTCCAAAACATCTGGAGGGCTGAAGTTTGCCCATGGCTGAGCTAAAGGGATCCCTTTGGGGTTGGAACCCACAATTTATGATGCTCTGGTATAGATGAATCCTCTGTCTATCTATAAGTAGGTTTTCTACAAAGGCTGCATCTATCCTGTAGAATTAATTCCACTTTAACTCAGTGCTATAGAACCACGTGAGCTGTAGTTTTAAAAATGCTTTTATCCTTTACTGCCATAGAGCGTGAGTATCTCACCAAACTACATCTCCCAGGAATCCATAGCAATGAACCAAGGTTTTAAACTGCATTAATTTGACAGTGTAGATGCACCCAAAGTCTCATTTACTAGCAATGCCTAGCTGCTATTTGCTGTCAACAAAAAGTATGAGAAACTTCCAAGATTAATAAATGCATCATGACATCTGTTTCCATGAACTGGAATCCATTCCATCAGGAATGGGTTGTTTATTCATTCAGTCACTTCTGACTCTTCGTGACCTCCTGGACCAGCCCATGCCAGAGCTTCCTGTTGGCCGTGGCCACCCCAGCTCCATCAAAGTCAAGCCAGTCACGTCAAATAAAAACATCGATCCATGTCGCCCTTGGTTGGCTCCTCTTCCTTTTTCCTTCCATTTTCCCCAGCATCATTCTCTTCTTCAAGCTTTCCTGTCTTCTCATTATGTGGCCAAAGTACTTCATCTTTGCCTCTAATATTCTTCCCTCCAGTGAGCATTTGGGCTCTATTTCCTATAGTATGGACTGGTTGGATCTTCTTGACTCTCAGAAGTTTCCTCCAACACCACAGTTCAAAAGCATCTATCTTCTTTCGCTCAGTCTTCCTTATGGTCCAGCTCTCATTTCCAAAGGTTACTATCGGGAATAACATTGTTTTAACTATTTGGATCTTCGTTGCCAGTGTGATGTCTCTACTCTTCACTATTTTATCGAGATGGGTGATTGTTCTCCTCCCAAGAAGTCAATGTCTTCTGATTTCCTGGCTGCAGTCTGTGTTTGCAGTCATCTTTGCGCCTAGAAATACAAGTCTGTCACTGCCTCCACGTTTTCTCCTTCTATTTGCCAGTTGTCAATCAATCTGGATGCCATAATATTGGGTTTTTGATGTTTAACTGCAATTCAGCTTTTGCACTTTTTTCTTTCAGCTTGTTTAGAAGGTTCCTCAGCTCCTCCTTGCTTTCAGCCATCAAAGTGGTATGGGAATGGGATGATATCCTAAATTGGTGCAAAGAGTACCAGCAAGAAGGAGCTGGGAACTAAATTTAGTGAAAGAACTATAAAGAGATTACTACATCAAAGTGTAATTTATGCTAAATTAGTTTAGCAACAATTCATAAAACTGTTTCAATGATAATACAAACATCTTGGCATTGTTAAGTTGATTTAAGCTTCTAGACTATCTTGATTCAGGCATAATGTGTTAGAGTTGAACTTCTTGACAGATTATAATTAATGGAATTGGAGTGACGGGGATATGAAGAGAGAAGTTACTGAGAGAGGGTGATGGTGTTAGAAAGGCAAACCCATCTGAAGAAATCTTGCTAACAAACCCCCAAGATAGGGCTGCCATAAGTCGGAAACAACTTGAAAGGTACACATCAACAATTGGTATGAATATTTTGTGCTGACTTCTTTTCCTCCCTTTGAATGTGTTAGTCACTTCTCAGCAGAGAGTAATATTTGGATTAAAATGTTAGACAACTGAAGGTGGATTTTTTTAAAAACAGGATGACAACTCTATTACTCATCCCTCTCTTAAGTCACAGACTCATTCATATTTATGTAGTTTTTATCCTACTTTCTACGCTTTAACAAGAGTGTTGGCATTATCTTGCCAGTGAGTCACTTCCTATCCCACAGGGGAGAAGGAAATCCATATTAATTGTGGAGATGGCAAACTGGCATTTTTCTTTTAGGGAATAGAGAACAAAGCCCTTGAAACACCAAGGGTGGGGGATATCTTTCAGCCTGAGAGCTGAGCTCATTTTCAGGGAAATTCTTAACGGCAGTATTTCAGAGGTACATGGGGAAGAGACCCCCAGAGGCCATCTAGTCCAACCCTCTTCTGCCATGCAAAAAGACACAATCAAAGCAGTATTTCAGAGGTACATGGGGAAGAGACCCCCAAAGGCCATCTAGTCCGACCCTCTTCTGCCATGCAAAAAAGACACAATCAAAGCAGTATTTCAGAGGTACATGGGGAAGAGACCCCCAAAGGCAATCTAGTCCAACGCTCTACTGCTATGCAAAAAGGCACAATCAAAGCATTCCAAATAGATTGTCATCCAGTCTATGCTTAAAACCCTCCAGAGAAGGAGACTCCACAAGACTCTGAAGCAGCCCATTCCTTTGTTCAGCCAGTCCCACCACGAGGAAGTTGTTTAGTTGGACTTTCCTTTCCTACAATTTGAAAGTACATTACTTTGTGTCCTAGTCCCTGGAGCATCTGAAAATAGGCTTGCTCCATCTTCAATATGACATCCTTTCAAACATTTAAATGGTGCAATGGGACCCCAGCAATGGCAATGTGGTGCCAGGTTCTGACACTAAGCCTGATCAAGTTGTACAGGTTGTACAAGGAAACAGTCTTTGTAAAGATCCCTATCTGCAGAGAGAGAGAGAGAGAGAGAGATGACCAGAAAAAACTGTCCAGCCCTGCAGACCCCAAGAGGAAGATGTCTGTCTTTGGCAATTATGGTATGTTACATTTTAACTTCACATAGAATCATAGAATCAAAGAGTTGGAAGAAATCTCATGGGCTATCCAGTCCAACCCTCTGCCAAGAAGCAGGAAAACTGCATTCAAAGCACCCCCGACAGATGGCCATCCAGCCTCTGTTTCAAAGCTTCCAAAGAAGGAGCCTCTGCCACACTCCGAGGCAGAGAGTTCCACTGCTGAACAGCTTTCGCAGTCAGGAAGTTCTTCCTAATGTTTAGGTGGAATCTCCTTTCTTGGAGGTTTAAGCCATTGTTCCGCATCCTAGTCTCCAGGGCAGCAGAAAACAAGTTCGCTCCCTCCTCCCTCTGACTTCCTCTCACATATTTAAACATGGCTATCATGTATCCTCTCAGCCTCTCTTCTTCAGGCTAAACATGCCCACGTTTGCATACAGCACATGCAATGGGGCCAAGAGTCTTTGGGCTGCCTTTCAAGGGTATGAAGTTTTTAGGGCAGACAATGCAAATATAATTTCAAATTATAATTTGGCCCTCCAACAGTTTGAGGGACTGTAACCTGGCCCTCTGTTTAAAAAGTTTGAGGACCCCTGCCCTACATCACTGGAGACATTATGGTTTAGCCGGTATTGTACCACCTGATATCCATTGGGAAGTAGCAGCCAGCAATAAAAGGACCAAGGCATTGACATCTCTGGCTCATCCCCTGTTCGGATATCAGCCAGCAAAACAATGTTGTAAATCAAGAATAGCTTCTTAAAATCTACAGATATCCTCACAGGAACACCTCAGCAAGTGAGAGTTCAAAAGTGGCAGGGGAAAACCCAGAACCTCAATCAGTGGCTGAGTCTGGATGAGAAACTGCCTCCTTGGCACACAGAAGACTTGGCGACTTGAAAGGTGTTTGAACATGCCGCGCTCTGGCACCACGAGATGCAGAGCCAATCTTAAGAAATGGGGCTACAAAGTGGAGTCTACAACATGAGAATGCGGAGAAGAGCGAACCACAGACCACTTACTACAATGCAACCTGTAACGTTACCAAGGGAATGTGAATGCAGCAAATACAAGAGGTGGGGTGTGAGTAACTTTCAATGCCTTTGCAATGCTAGGCATTTGAGGAATGAAGGAAAATTACAGCTAGGAAGGCGTAATTCATATGGGGTGGGGCAGTGTCGTAATTTCCACATCTACCCACCCATCTGAGAGCTACCCTTTGCCTGGATTTCCAGGACTGAGACAGTTTACACCACTGAGGAAAGAGGAAGCAGATGGTGGAAACTGTAGCTCATGTCTTCATTCAGCAAACAGTCTTCTAAAGCCAGCAAATAGTTGTGGCCAGGGTCACACCCAGATGCTAAACTTCCTTGAATCACTGGCTACCTGGTTGCAAATGCTGACAAAGGGTTTATTCTAGTCTTCCTGTTAGTGTGCGCATGTTTCATTTTTACTAAGGTTACAGTTTATAAACCTATACATTCCCAACTGTTCTGATTTGGCAGGAGTTGTTCCAATTAATTCCCTTCCATCCCTCTTTTTCAATTGCTTTTAAAATATCCCAGTTTTTCCTCAGCTTTTCCAACTTTCCCTTTTTGTCCTGGACCTCCTTCCTTTGCTGAAAACTGAATTCAAAGGACAAAGATAGTTTCAAGTCCAATCTATCTTCATGACCGTATCTCTTTCTATGAACAGGCTCTGAGATCGACAGGGGAGGTTCTTCTCTCGGTCCCACCACCGTCTCAAGTGTGGTTGGTGG